GGGATTCAGCCTCAGGGATTTGGGATTCAGTCCCGGGATTTAGGATTCAGCTCCAGGGATTTGGGATTCAACCCCTGGGATTTGGGATTCAACCCCTGGGATTTGGGATTCAGTCCCCGGGATTTGGGATTCAGCCCCAAGAGTTTGAGATTCAGCTCCAGGAGTTTGGGATTCAGCTCCAGAGGTTTGGGATTCATCCCCAGGGATTTGGGATTCAGCCCCAGGGATTTGGGATTCAGCCCCTGGGATTTGGGATTCAGCTCCAGGGATCTGGGATTCAGCTCCAGGGGTTTGGGATTCAGCCCCCAAAGTTTGGGATTCATCCCCAGGGATTTGGGATTCAGCCCCAGAAATTTGGGATTCAGCCCCAGGGATTTGGGATTCAGCCCCCAAAGTTTGGGATTCAGCTCCATGGATTTGGGATTCATCCCCAGGGATTTGGGATTCAGCCCCCGGGATTTGGGATTCAGCTCCTGGGATTTGGGAGTCGGGAAGGGGCCGTTTGACCCCCAGGCTCTCCCTGATCCCTAAAAACCGCTGGAGAAGGGAATGCGGGGGGGGAGGGGGGGGAAAGGGGGGGGCGGGGCCGGATTTGGGGGCTCCCTTGGGAATGGGAGCAGAATTCCCGGCCCTGGGATCGGCGGGAAAAGGGTTAACAGGGAAAAGGAGCCGAGCGGTTCCTGGTTTGTTTGGAATGTGGGAGAGGAGGAGGAGGAGGAGGAAGGAGGGAGAGGGGGCGGCTCCGGGCTGGGAATCGGGAATTGCGGGGTTGGGACACCCCGAAAATTGGGAATTGTGGGGCTGGGATCCCGGGAATCGGGAATTGCGGGGCTGGGACACCCCGAAAATTGGGAATTGTGGGGCTGCGACCCCGGGAATCGGGAATTGCAGGGCTGGAGTCCGGGAATGGGGAATTGCGGGGCTGGGACCCCGGGAATCAAAATTGTGGGACTGGGACACCCCGAAAATTGGGAATTGTGGGGCTGGGACCCCGGGAATCAAAATTGGGGGAATTGGGACCCCGGGAATGGGGAATTGTGGGGCTGGAACTCCGGGAATGGGGAATTGCTGGGATGGGACTCCGGGAATGGGGAATTGTGGGGGCTGGGACACCCCGAAAATTGGGAATTGCGGGGCTGGGACCCCGGGAATCAAAATTGGGGGAATTGGGACCCCGGGAATGGGGAATTGCGGGGCTGGAACTCCGGGAATGGGGAATTGCGGGGCCGGGACCCCGGATATTGGGAATTTGGGGGCTGGGACCCTGGGAATCGGGAATCTCTGAGTTCCATGGAGCCAATTCCCGCCCCCCCCCCCCCCCCCTCACCCACAGGGGGGTCCCGGGGTGACCTGGATTTGGGGACCTGGACACCCCCAGAGTCCCCCGGATTTGGGGAGTCGGGGATCCCCTGGATCCCAGGAATCCTCTGGATCCCTGGATTTGGGGAACCAGGGACTCCCTGGATTTGGGGAGTCAGGAATCCTCTGGATCCCTGGATTTGGGGAGTCAGGGACCCCCTGGATCCCTGATTTTAGGGAGCCAGGAATCCTCTGGATCCCCGGATTTGGGGAACCAGGGACTCCCTGGATTTGGGGAGTCAGGAATCCTCTGGATCCCTGGATTTGGGGAGTCAGGGACCCCCTGGATTTGGAGATCCAGGAATCCCCTGGATCCCTGGATTTGGGGAGTCAGGGACCCCCTGGATTTGGAGATCCAGGAATCCCCTGGATCCCTGGATTTGG